TGCCATAACGTGACCTTTGGCGTTCTGCTCTCAATCACTCCCGCAAAACAATGCCCCGGCCAGGCAGACAGGGCACCCCTTGCAGGATCATGATTGAAACCTTGAGTGACCCCAAACACATAGCACCGCGGCAGCTTAGTCATTGAGACTACCCTCGTGTTGAAGAACCCGAGCTCCTCTCGCTGCTGCCAACCCTCGCGCTCTGCCTACACGGATCAGCCAGGGATCAATTCTTGCGGGATAGTCATTTTCTTCGGAGTAGCATACCAAATTGGTGTTTGGTTGTACAGATTTGGTTTGCTCCGAACAACTGCGTTGTGTTTTGCCAACTGTGGAAAGCTTTACTTCATGTTTGCTTCTTCGTTTCAACATGTGTTGACGAGCTATGCATTGCAAACAGACATATTGCGAGGTGTGGGTTTGCCATTTTGCAGGTGCGTGCTTCTCATGGTATGTTCGGGTATGTTCACTAAGGAACACGTAGCAACATGAGCATTTGGATGGATTGTGGTTCCTCAATCCGGTCCATTTCCCGTACTTGGTTGCTGGAGCACAGTGCGGCGTGCTGGCTGACGCGCTGCAACATTTCTGCTGCAAAATATACGTTGTCCTGACAAGCTTTAGTTATTGTCACTACTACAGGGGCCTAATGTGTAAAGACTCTTGGGGGATGCTTTTGACACTCTTGATGCTTTGCACACAATCCTACTTAGTTGGTACAAATATGATATGATGTTAGCACACACACACATTCAAAGCGCAGTGTCCTTCACTCCTTCATTGAATGTGTATGATCTGGCACATGTTGAATTTGCCAGTGAGCTGTAGCAAGTGGGCCCAGCGCCGCCAGAACATCTGTGCTTGTCTTGGACCTGCGCAAATTGACCTGTTGTGCCTGTTAGCGGGGAAGCAGTCATCTTCCAAAGGAAACCCTGAGAAAAGCCTGTCGTGTTGTTCAATTTATCTTATATCATGATCTTCCAAAAAGTCTGAATGTTAAATGTTGAATGTTGTTCAATGTCTTATACCTTATGATGATCTTACAAATTGACCTTTTGAGTGTCTTATACCAACAAGTTGGAACGGAGCACCCCATTGTCTAGTTGGCTATCAAGATCCGGCCTGCAAGGCAGCTTGGGCGGCTTTGAGACGGCCTCCGAAACCCGACGGGTTTCGAAAGAAGCAAAGGGAAACCAACAACGTGTTTACCCTCCCACCAATTGACATGAAACTTGACAGCGGGGTCCTGGAAGACCGTTTTCATTCAAAAAGGGAAACTGTGTCAGGTTCCACGTTACTTGGTGAGAGGGTAACACCTTCCAGCTTCTCCAACAAACCTAAAACCTGAAAGAGACCGCGTCACCGCCGCTCTACACCCTTCCCCTGCAAACAATAGTCAGCGCCACATTTGTAGCTGTTGCTGATTTGCGGCCGCAGAATCACAGCACCAGATCTGCTGATTTGCACCGCAGGCCGTCAAAGCCCTCAAGTCAGAACGAAGCTCCCACGCTCTGCAATTAGCCAGCTTACCTACCTTGCACTCAACCTCAACGTCAACATTTATAAGCAAAGCGTGCAGGGGTCACATACAGAGGAAGAGGTTGCTCGGGGCTGCTAAGCATTGGAAACTCGGTTGCTTTCTGCACCCCTGCTAAAAGTTTAACTTTTAGTGGTTTAATGGAAAACCCATGAGTTGGCAAAAAGTTAAAGTCCTAACAGCCAAGCAAAATGCAACAAAGGAAAGGCTAACCTGTTGGTTCTTGTGATCCTCTAATAGGAATCAGATCGAAATGGTGAAAGGGAGCCAACGCCTGATGGGTCTTTCCTTTTCAAGGTCGGACCCCCAAAAATGGCTTCAGTTTTCCGTTTGGTTCGCCTTTGAAATCAGCCAAAAAAGGTGCCCGGAATGCCAGGAACCACAAAGGCAAGCTGATCAGGATCCGACTGCTTTCACGTCCCTCAACGCAGTTTAGAGAGAAAACACACCCAAAGTACCACCTGCGTTGTTCGACGTCAACAAGCTCAATTCTGGGAACTGGCCTTACCAACATGCCACCCATTGCACATGCAAAAACCCAAACACATCCAGGTCTCAGAAAAAAATGTCTTGAATGTCTAGTTTGGAAAAGTGCAAGTCGGAAAAGCATAATGCTACTTAAAGTTTGACATTTTACAATGCTTGCAGCTTCCTACCTTGCCTCCCCATGATTGAAATGTGGAGTCATTGGTCCAACAAGGACCATATGCTTGACGGACATCCATATGGCAGCGTGTCCAGACAACGGGCCCGTCCAACTGCTGTGCATTCCTCTCGCTTGTTACATTGGATTGGCTTCCCTTGTGTAAAACAAAACAAAGCAACACAGTGTTTTTTTCTCAAAAGAAAAAACAAACTGTGGATAGGTTGCCTTTCCAAAACAGAACACAACCAAAGGGCGACGCATCTACTCCTAAAAAGACACCCCATAACCACGGGCGGCCTTTTTTACGCGCCCACGCGCGCGTTTTCGCGCGCGTGGGGCCGTAGCGTTGCTTGGGCCCCCCAGCCGATCTCCGTCCTGGCCGCCGCCAGCGCGTGCTCCGCGCTGTAGCGGCGGCGGGCCTGCTGCTCCACCTGGCAGGTGGATGCGCGATCCAAATGGCTGAGGGTCAAAAATACCCAAAATGGGTTGCCATGGTAAATGGGTTGCTAATGGACTAAAACCTGCGGTCCAATTCCTGGTGGTTTCATTTTGACAACCACACCCAAATCGCACCAACTGGAAACCATTGGTTGACGTTGGAAGGGGAGCAAAAACAATTTCAAATTTTAGTTCAGTTCAGTGGTTGGATTTCAACCACTAAGGCACAATAAGCAAAAATGTCATATGTTTCCCGACAACAACCGTGAAACCATGGTTGAAACAAGGTTGAAACCATTGATTGGCAGGTTCCGTTAGGACATCGACTCATTCCAGGGCGTCTTCGGTGCGAAATGGAGCTCGTCCATACACAGGACCCGCCATTTTTGGGCGATAGTTGGCGGCTTTCCTTTTGGCTGCCGCCAACCTGACAAGGGTAGCCTCAGCAAAAACTTGCCAACCGGGGGAGAATGGGTTGGGGCAGGCGGGGTTGGTTCAGGGATGGCTTAGGATTTAGGGTTGGTTTAGGATCGGTTTTGGGTTGCTTTAGGGCGGGTTGAAAGCGAGTTTCGGCTGGGGATTTGGTACGAATTGTTTTTCGGGTTGGCTCATTGCCTCCCCATTTGGCCATGTGCAGCAGCCTTCTCTTGGTTGACGTTGGAAGGGGGGGTGCGGATTTATTTTGGGATGTATTTCGTATTTTACAGCATTTTCTCTCAAAATTGACGAGTTTTGCTCTAGCCCGTCAACATCCCCAGCATCGTTTTCAACATCCCCCGCATGTCCGACCAACATCCCCAGCATCACCAACAAATATTGGGTAACAAAATCTAAAAAGTAGCTGGCGGGTTGACGGGTTCGAAAAAATGATGATTCAAATAGGAGGGCGGGGCACTCGCTGCAAAGCAAATCTAAAGCCCCCCCCCATGATGTTCGCAAACGTGATGATTCGAATAGGGGTGCAATTGAATCTCTGTAGAAATCTGAAAAGTAGCGGGGGGGTTGGGGGGCGGCAGCCCGTTCGAAGAAGTGATGATTCAAATCGGGGTGCAATGATTGAAGAAAGGGTGCGATAGAATATAAAGAGCAGCGGGAGGGTGGCGGGGGTGGCTTCCCCTATGTTTTCAAAGAAGCGCATACATACAAACATACATGGACTACATAGATTACATAGATTACATAAAATGTCGTATTTTACAGCATTTTCTCGCGAAATTGGATGCTCGAAAAAGTGATGAACCAAATAGGGGTGCAATTAAATTGCTGCAAGAAATCTAAAAGTAGCGGGGGTTGGGGGGAGGCGGCAGCCCAGCCAATGATGTTTGAAGAGGTGATGATTCAAATGGGGGTGCAATCAAATCTTTGCAAACGATCCAAAAAGTTGCGGGGGGGTTGGGGGGGGGGGCGGCAGCCCCCCCCAATGATGTTCGAAGAAGTGATGATTCAAATTGGGAGGGACTGGTGATGCTGAGGATGCGGGAAGCCAACCGGAGAGGAACAACGGGAGAGGAACTGGGAAGCAGAGGATGCAAAAAGCCAAAGCCACCAAAAGCCACGTAAACCAACAAGAAGCCAAAAAGCCAAGAAGCCGAAAAGCCAAGAAGCCAAGAAGCCAAGAAGCCGAAAAGCCAAGAAGCCGAAAAGCCAAGAAGCCAAAAGCGGGAAAAAAAACTGAAATAAATACCCCTCCAAAAAATTAGATTCTGGCTGTTCAGTGGGCTAAACTACAACAAGCAAAAATGTAATGTAGAATGTTTCCCAACAACAACCATGTTCTCTCCACCACGGGCCCTCAATCAGCTGAGGACTCTTCACTTGAAGTCTGCTGAGACGGCAACCGGCCTCCCGGCGCGCATCCTCGAAGGAGCTCTCCAGCGCGGCACCTAAAGCAAAGATATCAACGCCAGGAGCCCACAAAAGGAGAACCCGTCTTTCCGTTGTACTTCGTTGGTGGTTCTGTGTTTTTTGTTGTTGTGTTCTGTTCTTTTTGGTTCGGGTTTCCTCCCTCGGCTTCTTTTGATTAGTTTCTCTGTGCTGAAACAGCGGACCTGCGTGATCGCGATTGGGGATCTGAGAGAATCTCCTGGCTGAAAGTGGCATGCGTCACAGGAAATGCAGCATGGGTTTCGATACAGACGCAGTTGTTTGCCCAAAAATAGGTTTGGGTGGAACAGGCAAGGGTTCATTTGAGCGGGCCCAAATCACGTACATCCAACACTTCACAACTCCATTGAGGACACAAAGATTCGCATAGTTATGCAGACGCTCGACGTGTGCGAGCAAACAAGAATGCAGGATTGCACGCCTACCAACCTTCAGTTATTTGCGTTTCCGCCAACCCACTGGCCCCCCCGCTCGACACGCTTTTGTCTAACTTCGGCCGAAACGATCAACGATGCTTCAGGCGACTTGGACGAGTTTATGATAGGCCAAAACCTCAATCACGTCCGTATCCTCAAGTCACCAAGTCTTCTTCAGCTTCGTCGTTTGAAACGGCTTGCGAGAGAAGAAATCGCATTCCTTCTTAGAAGGAGGTGATATTAACAACGAGCTGGACATAACGTTGACCTGATCCCTTTGCTTCGTAAGTGGAAAATCGTCGAAGGTAGAGTCAGGTTATGCCGCTGATTCAGAGGCTTCCGAGGATGACTCCATGGAGCCTTCACTGTTCAAAGCCTGAGTCTTGTCAGGACGGTACGCCTTTATGGGGCTATGGTAGGCAGCCTCATGGTGCTCGTGCAGGTCCACGTGCAAGCTCTTCGGCTTCAACGGCATGCAAAGCCTGATGGCCTGCGGACAGAGACACCCAGAAATCCTTACATTATGCACCTGAACATTGCCTTGTAAATGGTTCTCTTCCCTTTGTTTTGGTGGAAAAAGCCATGTTTCAAATGGGCAAAATGTATCTTTTAAGGAGCCCATGGGACACATGGGACGCGGACGAGATCTCACGGAGCCCGGCCTTCAACAGCACCCATGTCACCACGAAGGAGTAGACGCTGCAAAGCAGTACAGCTGCAATCTGAATGCCTCGGCCGCGTCCGACGTCCAAGAGGCAAGCCTGGCACACCTGCACCAACAAGCTGCACGTAACCTGACGCCCTTTGAAGCCAAGCCACCCACCAACGACAGGGAAGCATAGGGTGGGCTTCCCGGCGTCACGCAGCTGATGGGCGCCGTAGCAACATCTGCGCAGCTCGGGGAGTCCGCCAACACGCCGATCCTTACGGAGCAGAGTGCAGGTCTTTTCGTCATGCTGACCCCAGTTTAATCGGGGGCGTGGTGTTGGCCCCTCCAAAAGTGGTCTGATTCCGATTCCCCCCAAACCCAGAAATGGACACATCCTTATTCATACACTGGGGTTGATTCATATGGGGTCAACAGGAAAGGTCCTTTTCACTCGGACCAAAGACTGTTTGCCACCCCTGCGATCGGAGGGACATCAAAAGTTGGTGCTCTTCTTTTTTCATGCGACATCTCTGGGTCCCAGCTGCAGCTTCTGCAGCTTGCTCTCCACACGAAGCAAGCCAAGCTGTTTCTGTGGCTGTGGGTCGAAAATGGGTACCCCAATGGAAACCTGGTGGAGCCAAGGACTATGTGCGGCTCCCTGGCGGTATGTTGACCCATACCCATGTCAATGTCACGTCCGGCAACTGCCGAGCCACATGATCGATCCGATCCAGCCACCCATACCATGCACGCCCCAAACGTCCAAGGCGTCATCAAGGCCTAGCTTGTTGATGAGCTCGCAGCAGCCGTAGCAGAAGAAGGTGGCCACAATGCCAAATATGAACCTTGCCGCTGGCAACTGCCGGCGAAAAAAAGGGGGACCCCAAAATGGGTTCCTTTTGGTTCCCCCAAACAACCCCAAAGGCATCGCCATCAAAAAAGCACAAACACCGAACTCCGAATTTGGTCCTAGCGGCGCTCCACTTGGTTGGATGAACCCAGCTGCAGGCGTGATGGTGGCAAGACCAGCAATGGCACCAACACAAAGGCCGATCAGAGTTGGCCGGCCCAGCCGGACCCATTCAATCCTGCAGATTGCACAGTTTCAAGGAGCAGATCAGTGGCGCCTTGATGAGTTGCCACCCGCCGCCATGTTTGGGCAGTCTCTCATAGGTAACCCTGTTGACCGGCTGGACTCCTGGATTTCCTTCTCATGTGGGCCCCTAGTTAACCCCAAGACTACTCATACTTAAATCCTTCACAGGGTTCCCCAATTTGTACTGGGGAGTTGCCTTGCTAATCAGGGTCAACACTGGCGCCCGGGTCAAGTTCTGCTGGTATTTTGGCAGCAGTTTCCCGGACTGGCACTGGCATCTCTGGCTGCAACCCAGCAAAAGGCCCAGAACTCTTTGGCGGAAAAGCGGCCACCACAAAGTGAACGGAAGGCTTTTTTGGAATCCGTCGCTTGAAGAGCCACTCAAAGCATTCCGGCTGCCTCGGGTTTGAGCTGAGCGCAAAAAACGGCTCTGAGGTTTCTAGGTATGGAAGGCTTCGTGCCATGAAACAGCTGGATCGGCTGGTTCTTGGATTGTTGGATTGTACAGGGCTTCAGGGTGGCGGGTTTTTGGTGTCGGGGCTCTCTCTGAGGGTTCCGATGGGTGTAGTTGGGCACACGCGTGGTTTTGAGATGTTATTGGCCCGAACCTCCTAAACCAACCCTGAGCCAACCCGAAATCCACCCAACACTAAGCCAACCCTAAACAAACCCTAAACACGCCCTGCCTAAACCCACCCTAAGCCCAGCCTACCCTGCCTAAACCACGCCTGAACCCCGCTTTCATAACAAACGCAACCTCAACCTAAACCAGCACAAACCCCACGCTAAACCAGCCGTAGCTACTTCAAGCACTAGCTCCCGCCAGAAACAGAGCTCCGCATCGTTGAAATTCAACAACAACATAGCAGGGATCCTTACATTATGCACCTGAACATTGCATTGTAAATAGTGGTTTCCCTTTATTTTGGTGGAAAAAGCCATGTTTCAAATGGGCAACATGTATCTTTTAAGGAGCCCTGCATAAGGAAAAGGAATTACGGTTTAAAGGGGCAGCACTTCTGGTTTGCCCCCAACTCTCCCAACTCTGTCTCCCGAAGGTTGAAAATGCGCTTGCAAAACTCGGAGGCCCTGATCGGATGCTCACTCCGGAGGGTGCAACTTCTTGGTGGTTGGCATCTTGCAGCTTGAAACATCCAACTCTGTCTGGAGTTGTAAACCAGAACCCTACCAACTTCAAACCTAAATGAGACGATCTGAATTCTCAAGTTTGTAAACCTAAAATTATAAACCGAAACCCTACGGCCTAAAGCGAAAACCCGCCTACCAAAAAAGGCGAAGCCGGCAAACCATACGCCTATCACACCCCGCGAGCATCGGCACTGAAACCGATAGGTCAAAACCCAGCATCCCGAGCATCCCGAGCATCCCAACACGGCTGGCCACGTTGCGCCAAATACGAAACGCTGGACACGGCAGCGGCTGATTCTGCGAATTCCACTGCAAAATTCCTGTTTGAATCATCACTTCTTAATGGGGGGGGGCAGCTGCTGGTTCTGGTAATTCTGGCCTCATTATTTTGCCATGGTCAAAGTCACCCCCTAAGTGGTGGGTTAAAGGGAAACAACCCCATTTCTGACTTTGACAACCCCCAGAAACCGTCAAAAAATGACCCCTGTAATTCCACTGCGAGAGTCAAAAGCCAGAGGAAGGTGGCCACTGATGCCGAGATCTCGGAGTTCACCACCGCGGCCACTGCCTGGCCACTGCTGGCCAGAGCAGATCCTCGGCCAAAGAGGGCTGCGAAGCTTGCCCTGAGAAAGCGCCGAAGGTGGGCATGGGTCCAAATTGAAACACCAGGAATTAGACCGCAGGTTTTAGTCCATGTTCCCACTCACCAGGGCAACCCGTTTTGGGGCTACCCTATTTCTGACCCGCAGCCATGTGAGCACGGGCATTTGACTTCCCCGCCCACATGCGAAGTCCGGGCCAGGGCTCCGCCGTTGAAGCCGAACCAGCCGAACCACAGCAGGGCCGTGCCCAGGGCCACGAAGGGCACGTTGTGGGGCGTGTGGTGGTGATCCTTCTCATCCTCCGGGATCTCTCGCTTTCCTCCAGGGATCAACGGCCCAGTTTTCCTCGTGAAGTACTCTTTTCGCATCCAGGGGTGAGATCCCCTGCCCTGTTTTGGTGGTTGTGGTGGATCTCTCGTTTCCCTCCAGGGATGTGGATGAGGCCGAGTTTTCCGGCCCAACGGGACACCGCCCTTCTTGCGGGCTTTTTCTCGGGGAAACCCCCGCGCCTAGGACAAAGAGGCTCGCCAGGGCCGAAAAGCCCGCCGTCACGTGCACAACTATGCCTGGCGGGTGAGCAAGGCTGGCCATGCTGAGCATCGGCTTTCTTTGTTGCGCCTCCGGCAAAGTCCACAGCTCCAAGCTGTGCCAGCCAGCCACCACCCCAAAGCCAGTGGCACCAGGGACAATAGACGAACCTGGGAATCATACAAGCAGAGAAATGTGGAAGTTTGCTGCTTGACATTGCAGTTGCTTGCAATCGTCACCTCAAGCCGAGCAGCAAAAGCCACAGCAAAATAAAGATTAAGTATGGCTTGAAGCGGAAGCGGTCAGCGAATGCACCCGTCATCAGCGCCGGAGTGATCACCGCAAACATGCCTCACGGTGTGTTGCCTATGGGTGAAAAATACACCACCACATAACCGCAGGTTTCAATCCTTGTTTCCATTCTCGCTGGGGGTAACCTAGTTTTGACCCCAACTGTGCCTTCACCAAACACCTTCCCTCTGAGACACGAGTCCCTACGAGTCCCTTGCTCCAATGCTATCTGACTCTGAGATAAATGCTGCCTGGAAACCCTGATAGGCCATGTACAGCAAGCCCGGGATTTTCTGCCCAGGAAGCGCCTGCAGTTGGAGCAACGCGGGCCTCAGAAAAGCCTTGGCTTAGGGAACAAAACGAAGTTCTCTGCGCTAGTACTTCAAGCTACAGCTGCACCTTTTATTCTGGTCGCCCACACAAATCACAATGCCAACGCCAAGGTTACCTGTTGCACCACTTGCACAAGATGCTGGGCGTGGGTGAGTCATTTTGGGCGGGCGCCATGCTGGGTTTGGCCATTCGGTGATGAACTGAAAAAGTCAAAGCCAATTGAGGCTTGAGGGCCGAATGGAGCGAACGTTCAAGTAGAATTGGCTTGCACGAATTGAGTTTGCATCGCATCCCATTGAGGAAATTGAGGCCTGGTTGCGAGCTGGTTTTGCTTATGACAGCCTTAAACGCGGAAAATTGTGCGGAAGGGGACAAATGCCCTCAGCGTCCCCAACCGATGAGTCTTTCACATAAAACCAAAAGCGGCATGCCAGGTCAAAAGCGAAACCGGAGGCGAGGCCTGGAAGCGCGAAATCCAAAACGCCAAGCCAAAGGTGGCTAGCTAAGCTAGCCAATGAAGAGAACGTGAAAAAACCTTAGAGAAAACACGCGCGATTTTGTTGTTGCGAGGCACGGGGACTGCAAAACAAGCCCATTGCATGTGCGGAAAGGTGCTCGTACTGTCTTGGACTCATATATAACCAGAGAAACCTTTGAAACGCAGCCCTGCCCCATGAATATTCAGAATTGGTTCTCATCCTGGACTGGATACCCTGGGTTGGACCATTTTGCTTCACAAGGGACCTGGTCCAAAAGAACGTCAGGTTTTTCAGTTGCCCAAAAGACCTGGAAATAAACAGGCTACTTTTTGGGGGGCATGACTAAACATGGATGGGCAACAAGGCGAAAACCAAAGGGTCAAAAGGTGGACTCTAGGCTACTCCAAAAGGTGGGAGGCTACTCCAAAAGGGTCAGGAAGGCTACGTAAAGGTTGAGGTTTAGCTGGCTGTGGGTGAAAAACAGGTACCCAAACTCAACCCTGGTAAATGGGCATATGATATATGGACTAAAATCCGCGGTGCCAGGTGAGTCATTGGTGAGTGGCTACTCCCCAATTGGTCCACCGCCTCATGGACATTGAGGTCCCGCAGGCCGAAGAAGGTCCAGGGGCTCCCCACGAAGCCCCAGCTCTCGCCGAAGCACAGCGAGAAGCCCACTAAGAACCTCGCTCCATGGGCACTCGGGCAGATTGAGCACTCGAAAGCATGAAGTTAACCACGAAAATCCTTCAAGCTCCACAAAAACCCTTCAAGTTCCACAAAAAAACTCCTTTGGAACTTTGGGGGCAACGGTTTCAAGTATCCATGCGACTTGTACACACCAAGTGTGCGAACCTTTTCCAAGGTGGCACCGAAAAGAGGCACCGAAAGTTGAAAACGCCTAGCCCTGAGTGGACTTGATTGCTCTTCTGCCTCAAATCCTTTTCAAGCAAAAGTCGTGTCTCCTGGAGTAAAAGTGTAGGGGTTACAGGGACTCATTCCTGGATGCTTCGACCGCCATCAAGAGAATGTCTCGACGGACAGGTAAGTGAACTTTATAGCAAGGGTATGCATTGCTCGGTTCAGGCAGACAAGGCACAGCATGCCACAAGTTGGCAGAATGCTAAGCCTGCGGCCAAAAAATGCTCGACACACCCATTGATATGAAGCTCTGCATCATCATTGTCAGTACCTGAAATCAAAGTCGAGCATAATCATTCTGGAGCGCGGAATGCACCAGCAACAATGAAATACGTTTGCAATCAGACGAACTTTCTTGGCAAAAAGGGACCTTACAGCATGCAGAACACCTGACAGCGATCCACTCAGCATCGGCAACTTCATGCGGTACCGAATCCCACAACGTCAGCAAACCGCATCGGAGATCGTTTCAGCGATGGATCACATGACCTTGACTTCTGACTGTCTATTCTGACAGCCTATGCCATGCTATTCCGCCACACTGAGATTGCCCAAATGCGAGACCACCAAATGGCCATGGGTCAACATCCCGTACCCCCAGTGAACGTCCCAAATGGGTGGTGAATTCACCTACCCCAAAATGGGATCCCATTGGTTTTGACAACCACAGCCAAATCTGTGCGCTTTGTTCCTTTGAAGTCCCGTCGGTGCTTGGCAGCCCGGCGCTTGTGTCTTTGACCAGCCCGCCGTAGAAAAACGCCAACCCTGGTGTCATCAGCTGCACCAGAGCGGTGGAAACGAGGATCCACGCCTAGGCAGCTTGTGCCCTGCAAAAACCCTGGCACAGCGACTCGGCCAGGGGAACTCCTTCAGGGCTTGTGAAAATTACGGGCCTCTGGAACTCGGTTGCTTTCTGCTCCCCCGCTAAAAGTGAACAACTTTTAGTGGTTTAATACGGAAAACCCATTGGTTGGCAAAAAGTGAAAGTCCTAACATCCCTTGGCAACATGTACCTCTGAAAAGCCGGCAGCTTGGGCAGGGGCAGGGTCCAGGGTCATACTCTTGACAAACCCAAGATCCCTCAGCAGTGAACATCCCAATCCCCACTAAAATAGGTTCTAGAATGGGGGTGCACCTACCCCAAAAGGGGATCCCATTGGTTTTGACAACCACAGCCACAGCTGAAAAGCTTCCCATTTGGCTGTGGGTCAAAACCCTGTGCCCCTGGTGAACATCAAAATAGGTGGCAAATGGATGTTCATCCACCCCAAAATGGAGCCATTGGTTATGCCCCATCGCCATTTGGCAGTCTGTCTGCCGAGACGCGGTGCTGCTGGCATCAACCTCCATCTCGCGTCTGCAATGCTGCAAGCCTCGAGCACCACGCTCCATATGCTGACCCAAAGAACCGCAAACGGTTTGGGGGATCCTCATGCTGACCCAAAGAACCCACATGCAGTGCAAACGGTTCGGGGGATCCTCACTTCGGTGTGGGCTCTTTTTTAAGGTACCTCTTTTTGCTGGTTCCCCAACGCTTCTCTCCAGTTCCCAAGGTTTTACTCCGGTTTCCAATGTGTTGCTCCAGTTTCCTCATGTTCTGCTCCAGTTCCCGAATGCTTCGCTTTAGCTCCCCAATGTTTTGCTCCAGTTCCCCAATAGTTCCCCAATGTTTTGCTCCAGTTCCCATTGTTTTGCTCCAGTTCCCGCCATGTTTTTGCTCCAGCTCTCAATGTTTTGCTCCAGTTTCCCATCTTTTTGCTCCAGTTCTCGCTCCAGTTCCCCAAAGTGTTGCTCCAGTTTCCCAATGTGTTGCTCCAGTTCCCCAATGTTTTGCTCCAGTTCTGAATGATTTGCTCCAGTTCCAGTTCCCCAATGTTCTGCTCCTGTTCCCCAATGTTTGGCTCCAGTACCCAATGTTTTGCTCGAGTTACAAATATGTTGCTCCAGTTCCCGATGTTTTGCTCCGGCTTGCCATGCCAAAGCCCAAGGAGGTTCCGTTGCAACTTGATCGAAGGCTGGCAATACTCTGACGTTCGTTATTTCAGGACCTTTCTTCCAGACCAAAAGAAAGTCTTTCAGGACCTTTCTTCACACCTTTCTTCAGGACCTTTCTCCCGCAAAATTCCATTGATCCCACCAGTGACTCCCGCAAAACAAAGTCGGCCTTAAACTTCAGCGCTTTCGCCAAGGTGCTATTGGCATACCAAAGTGTACCGAGTCTTGGGCCAAATGGCTGGCATCATGTCGTGACCTGCTTTGCACGACCGCGACAAAGCGAAGCCGGCAGGAAAGCCGATACACCGAGCGCTAGCCGATCTGATGAGAAGGCGCAAGGAAGTGCGTCACATTCCTTCGCATGGAATGACAGGATGCAAAGAAGGTGGACCCTGGTTGGGATGCTTCAAGGAAATGCCAAAAGGAAACATGTTGCAAACCATTTTGGGGGGCTCTATGTTAAGAAACCCATTTGCAAACATCGTCTGCTGATGGTGGTTGTATGAAAGGGGTGGTGAACGGTGTCATCGCTGTAGCCGGTGTTCTGTAACCCGCACAAACCTGACGTGTCAGTCTATCCTGCATCAAATCAGCAGTGCAGCAATCAATCAATTCACACGCACGAACCGAACACGGATGAAAGACGCGCACGGTGCTAGCTAGATGTTAGACGACAGGATTGTTCCTTAAAGGGATATTCCAAACTCTGCTAAGCGGACTCCCGTAGCAAACGTGCGGTCACTAGGTGTGCCGGCAAGAAGCACACCGACTGTAAGAGAAGCTATCCCTTTCGCCTCGCACCTTGCTGCCTCTGTGCAACATAACCCGCAATTTGGGCCGGACATTTCCATGACCTGAATGCCACGTGGGTAGCTTTAGTTGATGTATCGCGGTATCATCATGCACAAACAGCCGCCTTTAAACATCATGTTGCTTGCTAATGCTTACAATGGCCGCGCCAGGAGTCTGCTAGCAAGCGCTCGAATGCACTAAACATATTATCCTCCGCGGCCTCATTGGTTCATCAGCAAGTGACTTGTGCGCCGTTGCGACCCTGCCACCTGTGTCACACGCGCCGAATTCTTCCTTCTTTTTCCTGGCTGAAGCCGATCGAAGCTGCCTGCACTGTGGGGCTCCGCACGCAGGGCCATTCGCACTGCACGCGTCAATTCATGAACGCTTCCCCCACGGGTCTTTCGAGCTTCCCCGCGGCTTTTCAAAGGCTCATGGAATGACAAGGGCGGCTGCTTTCCTAAGGAACTCGCCGAGAATTTTCGTTGAGCCGCCCCTGGGCTGTACAGCCGATTGAAAGCCCGGCAGTTGGGCTCACGGATGTTTGACCCGAGCCAACGAAACGCGGTGCATTCCAGCGCAGCATTTCAGCGCTGGACTTGAAATTATTCGACTATAAGTGCTTCAGGATCCACGAGCACATCTGGGTCACCTTGGGCAAAGCGAGTCCACCAATTTTGCCAAAACAATCTGCACAAGCTTCGATCGCTCTTAGGTGATTTGCTTGTGGAGAAAGAGACCCTGGAACGCAGCCCGGTGAAGACGAGTGTGAAAGCATTGCTTACCAGTGGCTAGGTCATAGATTTGGGAAAGACCTGTTGGAAGCAAAACAAAAAACAAAAAAAAAAAAAAAAAAAAACGACAGGAAGGCAAGCGTCACTCATGCAAGCCTTGAGTCAATCCTCAGCTCTTGGGCCAGTGCGTATTGTTCCATGTCCACGAAGGGCAAAACGTGATAACCACCTCGCCAGGAAGCAACATGAACGCCATCCCTTCCGTAACGCGTGCAAAACACCGACTGGGACTGCCATCTTTCAAGTGCTGTGTATCCCCGAATCAACATGCATACTTTCGGAGTCACGCCTGGCTCATGCATTTCGCTGCCGCCTAGTGGTAGCGTCTCGCGCGCGCACGCGGAGAAGGCTTCGACAGGCCCAACCCGGTCATCCCGTGACCATCGCTCACGGAAAGTGGCGCGCGTCGTCCAAGAAAAGCAACACCCACTTTCCGAGTCGTCGCAACACTCACTTCGGTGCTGAGATGGAGATGTTCGCATTCTTTTGAGGGGTTCCAATAGTTCTTGCTTTCCAGAAGCAAAAAAGCCTCCTGCGCTTCTTGGAATTGGAAGCTGCCCATGCCGCGCCTAGCTTCAGATGCACCAGCTCCTTGTCCGCACTGGGGCTGAGCTTCATGAAGAGCTCAGAGCCCCCCACCAGGCAGATCTGGTCCTGACCCATGAGAGGTGGGGTTCGTGGGGCCAACAAATGGGTCACCCCAAACATGGCTTGCTTGCGCCTCGTTGGCCTCCCTTCAACAGCAACCCCAAGAAGTTGGGACCCAAATCAAGGCGCGCCCAGATCTAGCCAGTGTCACACGCCGCCCAGCCGCTCCTCGGGATCATGGAGGAGAAGGAAGGGGTACTCCACCTTCGCAAGCTCCTGATGTGATGCCCGCAACTCTCCTCGTTTTGGAAGACTGAAACCAACGAACCTCAAGGTCTGCGTGTCTGTGTGCTTTGATGTTGGTGTTGGTGGAAGGAACAGTTTCAATTTGCCGAAGCTCCTTTCTCAATGGTTGTCCCTTGACTCCTGTCGCGTATGGACCCTTGTTGCAGTTGACGCTCAGCCCATCTGACTGCGTCAATCTGTAAGTGGAATGGAATGGCCCCTCTCCGCTGCAATAGTGGCTCAAAAATAAATCAGAAGTTCAAAACAGTCCGGTTTCAATCATGACCAGCCAACCCCGTGTCAGGATGCACCATCGCTCACACGTGGCCATAGAAAGCATTCTGCAGCCATCCTCTGCTTGTGATCAGCCGCTCTGCACATCCCCTGCTGGCACAGCAGACGCCCATGAGCCATACGGGTTGCATTTCAAGGTGGATCAGTGAGCCTATTGCCAGTGCCCGACCAGTTGGTTCTCTCGATATTCATCAGTCAACATGGTGCGCTACAAGGAAGATATTTCTGTGCATGCACATGTTTTTCTGTGTGGGTGTGGGTGTGTTCTGTTCTTGCCTTTGCTGCCTCTCGTTTCCGTCTTTTTCGGGAAGCCACCCTACCCGTGGAATCAAAGCCGGCCGTTGCCGTGGTGGCGCCCGTCTCCTCCTCCACCGTCCCGAAGAGCGCGCTGTAGGCACCGGCGGTGGCCCAGCGCATGTTGTGGGGCCAGCCGAGTCCTGGCATTCGCCATGTTGCAAAGAACTTCTTGACATTCCTTTTTAGATCCCCAATAGCTATTGGGCCGCTGTTTTTCCCATGTCCTGAACCTTGTCAAAATCCCCGAAAGGGATGATTCATCAGTTGCTTGACTGAACTGCGCTGTCTCGCTAAAGCTATCTTCGAAGGACACTCCCAATGCTGCGATCAGTTTCATGATGGCAACCCGTGCGACAATACGCTGTCGGTACCTTGGAGACGACAATACGCAGGTCAGCAGACCAACTAGGCCCAACAAATAAGCCAACTCTCCCTAGCTGAATTGTCCCCTACAAAGACTCGCCGTGGCAAGCAAAAGGCTAGATTCATGGGCCAAGCCTGGAATTCAGAAGCAAAGCGTGTGCGTTGCAAGTCCCAAATGCAAGGATCCTGACTACCAGGTGAATGACCATCCCTCTTCACCCCAACTCCTGCACCAAGTAGAAACCATGGGAAACCATTGTTTGTTGGTATTTGCAGGGGAATCGAATCATTTCAGGGGTTCTTACGTGGTGCGAAATGGATTTCGTCCATCCACTGGCGGCTGGTAGGCAAACCAAAACACACTCCGCTCTCCGCCTAGACCTGGAAAGCGAACCGCGTCGTCCCGCATCTCCATCTCTGCCATGGTTCTCTGCTTGGCATCGCCTGACGACAAGCGTCCTCTCGTGAATCTCTCTCGTCCTCTCGTAGCACGTGTCCATTGATTCCTGTCATCCATGCGAGCATGCCCATTTTTACAGCCTGGTGTTGCCCCAACATGCTTGAGCAATCAAGTCTCTGTCCGCTGTATCTCGTGGGTCCCGGAATCATTTATTAAGTCACGAACTGCATCCAAGGCGCTGAGGACATAACTATGGGTATAGTCCACCTGGCAAGGCTCACTCTTTCAAACCGAAAAGGCATCCCTTCGGCACCTAGAATCATGAAACAAGCGTTCAGCGTCCACTTCGCAACGCGGACGGTCCTTTCCACCCCGCGAATGAAAGAACTCCGTTCCCAAGGACGTCTTGATCCAAAAGATGAAACCCATGGTAAAATACACCCAATGCCGCCACATTCTTTCTCCGGTCGCTAACACGACCATCACCCCAGGCTTGGGTTCGGGCAGCACGGGGCGCGCCTTGCTGCTGGAGCTTACACAGGCCGGCATCTGGTACTGCCCCCAGCACGGCACCACCTAGCTGAGTCCGGCAGCGGAAGGCTTGAAGGGGCGGGGTACCTGGGGCGGGGAGGGCTAGACACCTATCAATCCAACCCAAGTCGAATGAACAAAATGGCGCTATCTTAGAATTGAAAGGGTTGGTCACAAAACCACCCCAAGGAGGGTCCCTTGGAGAAGTATTGAAATGCTGCTGGGCAAATTAGCAAATTGCCATGTCGGCTGGGTAACAAGTGATCTATGCCAGGGTTGAGGCTGGAGGCTCTGTTGATCCGGGTCCAGGATGCCCAGAGTCTCGAATGAGACACCATAAGAACCTGTGCCAAAAACAGCCACACGTGGTGCCGAAGACTCTCCCCAACCTCCTTTGCTCAGTATCTCATCGCACGTGGCAGTTGCGTGCGTGTAAGAGAAGGCGCCACGTCACATGCATGTGTGTGTGTGTGAAACGTAGAATATCACCTCCGCTGCGGCCACTTCGCTTAGCTCCAAATCAAGTCTAAGCGCCAAGCGCAGGTGCGCAGGAAGCTCACCACAGCCTGAAAATTCCCGTGAAGGCCGCTGGGAACAAACAGAGTGAGGCTGCTACACAAGCGCCAGTGAGACTGCCGCTCTTTTTGCCCTTGGGGCTGATCTGCGCAAGACACCGTTGCATCTTTAGTACCAACGGAGTCATGGTGAAAGCACTTTGAGTGCTGGTAACCAGTCTCATTGAAACAGCTTCCTGCTCGTTTCTTCCAAGCGGTTAATTCTGCTTAAAGGTAACTACGAGTTACAAGGCCGACTTGAGGAACTGGCCAAAATGTGAAATCGCCGGCAGCTCTTGCAGGCTTCTCTCTTTCAGCATGGCAGGCCAAGTCCGCCAGGTCAGTGATTGGACTCAGCAGGCAACACAGGAAATGGCATGTCCTCCTGGCATGCTGGGTCTCGATCTGTCTGTGTCTCTGTGTCACTCCTCTGTGGCTTTGTCACTCTCAGTGTCTCTGTCTGGTGCGGAGAATGCAAATGGTGGGCCTTCCGCAAACTCCATGCGCCACACAAAAACAAGGAGGAGCGCAAAGAACAGAGCCTCTTGAGGGTCATTCACTTTCTGAGACCCGGTAGGCCACAGCTCAGCTCCGGGCAACACGAACTTCAGACATGTACGAGCAGCCGAAACAAACGCAGCAGGTCAGCGCAAACCTTGGCTAAGGGAGCCGCAAGCACGACAACTTTTTGGAAGTTCTACACTGCATAAGCTCCAAAGCAGGGGGGACAGGTTCTGTGTTTGTTTTCGGAGGGCTTCTGTCCCCTCAACAAACCAGGCTGGAGAGGATTCGCACCCATTGGAGCCACGTTGCAAGGTGAAATCTCTTCTGGAAATTGTCTTTACCCTCAAAATCGAGGCCTCGACAAGCTCCAAAGCGGGACGACAAGTGCTGTGCTTTGGGAGGGCTTCCTCAGCCTAGGCTGGAGTGGGTTTGCACCAGCCACCTGAGCCATCCTGGTGTAACTTGGTCGCATAGAATTTGAACAGGGGCAGATCTGCCGAACATTGCAAAGAGAACGTGTGGACGGGAAGAATCCATGGAATCCATGGAGTGCATGGAATCCAGACCGTCATCTGAGGAACAGTGAGCTTGGCAAACCTTCTCCCCTTTCCCATTCACAGGGAACCCCCGATCCGGGCAAGTCGTCCCACTCCAAAATGTCCCATTAATTTCCAATTTTTGATTTCCTCCTGATCTTCCTTTTGGAAACCAAAAAACATCGGCTTCGTTTTTAGCTGTCCTTTCAACAACCACATCCTCCACCCCCAATTCGTTTCTCTCCCTTCACTCGGGCCCCCCTCCCTCCCAGTCCGACGTCCAAGCAGCATCAGCGGCAACAACACCCCGAGGATCGGCGCGGCTGAGCCGACCCTGAGTCACGCGCACGCTCCCCGGGCGTGGACGGTTGCGAAATCCATTTCGCACCAGCGTTCAGAAACCTGGAATGATTCGATTCCCCAACGAAACTACCAACAAACCCATGGCTTCAACCAGGGTTTCTCTTCGTGGTGCGCACGGATTTCGCAACCATCCTGACTCTTGCCGCATGCCTCTGGGACTCCCGATCGCTTGCGGAGTCTTGTGCCCGGAGTTGCGGGGTCATGAGAGGTCCCGACAAGTCCGATGGAACGAAAACGACCGTAGAACTCCGTCCAGACGGACATCCTGGGAATGGAGTCTTGACAGGCAGCACACTTGAGATGGCTGTGGGTCGAAAATGGGTACCCAAAATGGAACCCTGGTAAATGGAACCAAGGACTAAAACCTGTGGTCCCCAGTTGGTTTAATTTTGACCCACCCCCAGATGGACGGAACTTCCCATCTGATGCCGATTGAGCTTCCGCCATGCGCCAAGCATATAGCATGGAGAATAAATTTGGAGGCAAAGAGCAAGGCAAAGCTGTCGCGAGGGTGAAGGCTACCGGTCTGGGAATTCCAACCAGCACCCTAGTTGCAGGTTTATGTTAATGTAAGGTTTTGAGGTATAGTTGTGCGTGGAGGCTGTCTAAACCTGTATTCACCTTACAGTACTCGTCAGCACTTAATTGACAATCTGTTTCCCGCAATGCAATGCCTCGGAGCGGCGAGATGCTAGTTTGCATGGCTCAAAATAGATCCACCCTTGGGCACCAGAGGTTGTCACGGCTTCCACCACAACATGCACCTGCAAAATCCGTTTTGTGCAGTTGCTTCTTTTGCACCAGCATGTCAATCAAAGCGTGGCGCCTCGTCTCTGAAACTCCGAAGCGACACAGGACAGAATGCAGGGGGGGCGTACTGCTTTCGCATTCCAAGCCCAAGCTGCAGAACTGAAGCTATCAGACTTCGGCATAGACGCGGCCGTCTGAGGCCCCGGCGAAGTTACCAACATGATCAGAAGGACGAACCCGGCAGTTGCTGTCAGGAAGAGGCACGTCGGAAGCGCCACATAGAGGCCCTCAGTTCGACGTGCTCGGACCACTCAAAGAACCCAGGGAAGTACGAGTGCTCCTGCCCCTGTCTTTCACGCAAATGAGACAAGTGTATCTATATGCATGTGTGTGTGTCACTAAGATAGACGGATAAATAGGTTTTGTTTAAAGATAGACGGGTTAGACAAACAGCAGACAGACAAACAAAAGAGAGAAGAGAGAGAGAGAGAGAGAGAGAGAGAGAGAGAGAGAGAGAGAGAGAGAGAGAGAGAGAGAGAGAGAGAGAGAGAGAGAGAGAGAGAGAGAGAGAGAGAGAGAGAGAGAGAGAGAGAGAGAGAGAGAGAGAGAGAGAGAGAGAGAGAGAGAGAGAGAGAGAGAGAGAGAGAGAGAGAGAGAGAGAGAGAGAGAGAGAGAGAGAGAGAGAGAGAGAGAGAGAGAGAGAGAGAGAGTATACATTATCTATATATATGTGAATTTGGCCATTTCCTGCACTTCACCCGACATCGCCCCCTTTTCCAAGCACAGTTGGCCGGCGATCAAGTTCGAGAGATACGAGCGAGCGATGCATCTGAAAACCAAAGCAGATCTGTGATGTCGTAGGGCTCTGCAGCCAAATCATAGATCAAATAGAAGGGTTTGCAGTTGCAAAACTCATCCATCCAGGGTGGCAGCGGGATCTGGGCCTGAAAACTGCATCCATGTCCAAAGCACATTCAAAGCATGTGAATTTGGCCATTTCCTGCACTTCGCCCGACATCGCCCCCTTTTCCAAGCACAGTTGGCCGGCGATCAAGTTCGAGAGATACCAAAGCAGATCTGTGATGTCGTAGGGCTCTGCAGCCAAATCATAGATCAAATAGAAGGGTTTGCAGTTGCAAAACTCATCCACTCATAACCAAGGGCAAGCAGCGGTTCGGAGAGTAGCTGCGCGCAAGCACTTCACCCGCTCAATGCTTGGAGATGGATAGGTAAAACGGATACACATCGGCAAAGATACAAATCAAACGTTTGGCGGCAACAGGCATGTCAACTATGGTAATCTGAGTCGAAATCTCCTGCAAATAATGCTGTAATGTTTCCACGTTTTTCAACCTGAGCGCCCACATGATGTCCAGGATGGGAATGCCCTGTCTGTAAAGCTGAACCGTCCCACCAGCCCTTAATCCAGCAGGAGTAACCTCAAAGCTGCTAGGCACGCCCAAACCAAATAGCAGTTTGTTCCACCGCGTACGAAAGGCTCCAGCGGAGCCCGGATATAAGGGCTGGCTTGACTTGGCATCGCCATACATCCGATCCAAAAAGGCAAGCACTGCAGAATCCAGGACTTTCGCGTGCTGGACCCTTCCCATTCCTCTTCTGCCAGGCTTTGGCTTTGAAATGCGAAGAAAACATGGCCCGGCAATCTGCTCCAAATCACGAGGAAGCAGCAAATGCCCCCGCAAAGCGCACAGTACTTCGCCAGGTCTACAGCAACCATGGAAACAAATCAAAATGACCGAAGCAACTCTGAACCATTCCCACATCAAGGCTAGAGAGACCATGGCTTCCACAAGCCTAGCAGGCAAGGGTCGCCTGTGCGTCACTGGTTGCAGCTCTTCCCAACGGGTGATTACCTGCCAGGCGGGCTGTAGGTGGCCCTTAAGCCCAGGGTGCGCTCGCTGAGCATAAACGACAAGATGGCGAAAGGAGGACAAAGGCTTGCCGCACTCATACGCATGCCTTCCATACTGGCCCATCATAGCACCCATCAACCCCGGCACAAGCCAAAGGCTGTTAAGCACGTCGCTTCCTAAAGTGCAAACGAGCCACTGAAGAAAATCGGCCCAAGCGGTCGTACCCATCATCTCTGTTTCCGGCCGGATCAACTCGACCTGGTCCAGCGCGCGCACATTTCTTGAGGCGGGCCTTCTAGGCCCAGGGTTCTTAGCCTCGCCAATACGCCGATGTTGCTCTCCACACGCCAGCGAACAATTGGATCTCAATAGGCTAAGGTCTGAGCAAACTGCCCAAGCCAATAGGAAGCACAGCCCTTTGGGATATGGATCGGCAAGCTTCGTCATCGCGATCTTGCTCTTCTTCGACCGACCTCTCAAAACCGTATGGGCGTGATCCCGAACGCACAATCTTTTTGTGAATCCAAGCCTGCCAGAAGTGACAAAACGGGTTCGTTTCCTCCAGGGAGCGCTAAAAGTGCAAAAGTCTACCTTGTAAAATCTTTTGCCAGCCTCACGTGGGAGGCCTAGCCACTCTGGCTGCCTCCATATGTAGCTTGAGTCTGGGTTCTCCACCCAGTACTGCACGCGCAACTGTATGCATAGGGTTATCAGTCCAGCCAGAAACAAAGAATGAGAGTTCCCGTTCAAAATCCTTTGCTCCATACCTGGTCTCAGCGGCAAAATGCCCTTAGGCTGCTGCGGGCTTCGGATAGGAGGCGAGATTGCTGAGGAAAATGTTCCACACACGGGGGCAGCTGACACATGTACGAAGACACCAGCCGTCAGCAACGTGCGAATCTTTGATCTCACGGACAAGTCAAGCAGGTCGCATTGCGCCCCATCAATGATATCAACAACCAAAACCCAAGGGGCGCCCAATTTG